GCAAAAGGCAGCAGATCAATGATTCTCTCTCATCATAGATGTTTCTAACTCTCTCTCCTTCTCCCTTCCTCTCTGAAATAAATAAAAATATATTTAAAAAAATAAAGATGAGGAGGGACATTGACACATGGAACAGACTGATGATTTCAGAGGGGATGGGGGGCAGGAGGGCGGGAAGAGATTAACCATGGACACAGACAATAGTTCCATGAAGGGTGCCAGTGGAGGGAAAATATTTTCAACAATAAAGATAAATTAAAATAAAAAATATAAGGAGGTAAAACCAGAGAAGTTAAATGATTTGATGATGGTCGGAATTTTCAGATGCACAAGAAGCGAGAACTCTGGAACTGTGCTACAATACAATTCTTGCAAGAATTCGGAGTAGATAATGAGATTGTATCTATTAGCCACACATGAAAATCAATTCCACTGCACAGAGTTAAGACAATAAATAGTGATCTGGCCATTTTAAAGCAAGAAGTAAAATAGATTTTCATGGATGTCACCAAAACATGATAGGACAGATCTCATTGGTTCAGCACAAAAGTGAAAAGAAAGCTTGTCCCAAAGAAACAGATTTAATTTAAAAGAACGAAAGAATGATGTCTGTCATCAAGTCAATGATCAACTGCAGAAAATTCTATGAGATCATATTAGAAAACAGTGCTCCTCAGATTTTCAGAGTATCAGATAAATTTCTAAAACATCTAAGATAATGAAATCAGGTTGCCAACATCTAACTCCTTTGATTGAAAATGTTAAATAATTTAAAAAATTTTAAATGGCAATTAACTTTTACTAACTGCTAGCTATATGTAAAATACTCTTCTGAGCACCTTCTTTCCATTATGTATTAAAGCGTCATGGCCACACTACAAGACACATATTACTATTATCTACAATACGTATATTATGATTATTACTCCTGCTTTATAGATAAGGCAACAGAGGGCCAAAGGATAGCAGTTTTCCCAGGTCACATATATAGTTCCGGGCAGAGCCAGAACTCAATCTGAGCAGCCTGGTCTCAGAGCCTGTGTTTTCAATTGCTGACTCTGGCTCTAGTACTCTCTGACATTATCATTTCATAAAAGGGATATTTTCCCCTGACCGGTTTGGCTCAGTGGATAGAGCATCGGCTTGCAGACTGAAGGGTCCCGAGTTCAATTCCAGTCAAGGGCATGTACCATGGTTGCGGGCACATCCCCAGTAGGGGGTATGCAGGAGGCAGCTGATCAATGTTTCTCCCTCATCAATGTTTCTAACTCTCCATCCCTACCCCTTCCTCTCTGTGAAAAAGTCAATAAAATACATTTTAAAAAATAAAATAAAAAAGGATATTTTAGCATAAAACTCAGGCAGGGCATCAGAATAAAAGCTACATCTTAAACTTTAATCTGTTTAGCAGTATTAAAAATTCACTATGTTTTTTTTTTTCTTTTGCTCAGATTTTTGTAAGCCTCCACTGCCTGGCAAAGCAGAACTTGATAAGCATAATTATAGAGTTCTTGGGCAAGAATAACACAGGAGCAAAATTCAGACTATCAGGGAAGAAACATATGATGCACCATCTCATTAGAAAGAGAACAGCACAAGAATTGTAAAATCTTCATACAGAGGTTCTTCAGGTTCCACCAGCTCAATCCCCTTCAAAGTACAGGTTACCTTCTACACTGTCAGATTCTGCTGGAATGGATAGGCCATTGGAAAGCCACTATTCATGATTCAATCCTGGACATATTTATACAGACACTGTTCTTCTCCACTACCTTCCTAATTTCTTCTTCACTAGTTGAGCAAGGTTCCAGAACCATTCCTATTCTAGGTGCTATCTCTTGAGCACAGTCCATTTTATGTTCTCTTTCTTAAAATTCAGGAATAGAAATAAACACAACAGTTAAAGGGAGGCTAAGTAGACTGGTGGAATAAGACTATGGCCTCATTTTGCTTTGTTAATACTACCTAGGATTATATTAGATGTATAGATTCATAAACATGGAAGCCAAACCCTCAGTCTCTTTTTTATGTCTGATGTTGCTAATTTTTATTACTCTAGTTCTATACTTGTACTCTTGGCTTTTTAAACCACACCAGATGGATGTGGAATTATTCCTCCACAAGTTCAAGCTGGCCCAGGACATTTCCACCGACTCTGCAGAATGTGTAGTCCCTCCCAGCTTTTGAGACCCATGACTTGCTCTTTATGAATCCTAAGTGCTCACAAACCATCTGAGCAATAGTCTGAGGCCACTATCCAATTTTTCAGTCTACAGTTTGCAGCAGCTGTCTTTTGCCTTATAACTCAGTTTGCTTTCCACAATGTCCCACTGCTCACCAACAGCAGTAACCGGTCTTATCTTCAGACTTTCTCAAAGGCCTCAGGTCAAGAGAGAGTGAAAACCTATTTCTTCCTCCAGTAAAAAGCCTCATTTGACTTCACTTCCTGCCCCCACCTACTGTGCCTCTTAGTTGAGTTCTGATTCTCTCACCTAACAATTCCCAGGCCTGTCTTGTTCAACTACAGCCATTTCAAAAACATTTAATGTCAGTGCACCAAGAACAGTGTCAGCTGCAGGTTGCAATGGTAACAGGAACAGAGTACTTTATCATTGGGCTCCCTTGCTTAAGTGAGGCTTAGTACTTCAAGATACAGTGTTGGCATGCAAATATCCATTCAAAATTGGTTTTAGATTTTTAACAAAGGACTGTCAAGCTGTTATGAAAGCTCCCTGTCTCTTTGAGAGTTATATATGTTTACACATCATGCAGCAATAACAAGAGGCTTCCTGAAAACAGGAATGCAGGCATTGTACTCTAGGGAAATGTATATAGTAATTGTGTCACTAACTGAGGTATACAGGCAGCAAACCAAGAGAAAAAACAAAATATGTAAAAACAAGGGAATTAGAAATATAAAGTAGGTGGGGTTGTAGGTGGCTAGAATAAAACATTGTATCCTCTCCCCAGTCTTTCTTCTTCTTTTTTTAATATATTTTATTGATTTTTCATAACGAGGAAGGGAGAGGAATAGAGAGTTAGAAACATCGATGAGAGAGAAACATGGATAAGCTGCCTCTTGCACACCCCCCACTGGGGATGTGCCTGCAACCAATGCACATGCCCTTGACCAGAACCTAACCTGGGACCTTTCAGTCCATAGGCTGACACTCTATCCACTGAGCCAAACCGGTTTCGGCCTCTCCCCAGTCTTGAGAAGTGAAATTCTAATCTTCTTTGAGAGAGAGAGAGAGAGAGAGAGAGAGAGAAACTTCACTATATTGGCACACCCCAAACAGGATTCCTCAAAATAATACTGAATGTACTGCTTACAAAGCCTGCTTAGAGAAGGACAGAGATTATGAAGGCTCTCAGCCCACCCGTACTAAGGAGATTACAGTATCTACCCTGGATACTATACAAGCAGTTATAAAATAAATTACAGATTTGGAAGAAATTCCTATATTATAAAATCACATGTACAATGTTCTCCACAGCTATTGTTTGCATTACAACAGGTAAGAAATTATTTCACAAAAAGGAAGGGCCATTTATTTATCTAAAGAGAATGAGGAAACAACATGGCTTACAGAGTTGAGGAGGAGAAAGAGTTATCAACTCCTTCCTCCTTGGACCCACCAATCAGGTCTGTGGAGACAACCAGTGCAAATAGCAGTTCTTATTCCAGAGATCCTGCACTGAGGGTGATGTAAGCATGCTGGTGTGGATCTGGCAAACATACTCAGGCCCATCACGTATCTTCAGAAGAAAAATTTTCTTGCTCCCCTCTCTAAGAAAATCCTTAAAACGGGGAGAGATGCATGCTATAGGCCTAACCAATGGACACAGTCAATAGGGGGAGTGAGGGCATGAGTGGGGGGATGGAGGAGTAATGGGGGATAAGGACACATATGTAATAACTTAATCAATAAAGAAATTGACAAAATACCTTAAAACAACACAATCAAACTAACAAAAAAACTAAACAGAATTTTCCCCATGAGTTTTGAACTTGTGGAAACAGTATACTCCAAATTCTAAAGAAAAAAATGAAACATCTACAACTGTTAAGGTTTAATTATGTCTCCTACCAGTCAGGGTCAAACTGTACTCTCAGTATTTTTAAAACTAAAAACAAACAAAACGAAACAGTGATATGTGTCTTCTTAAATAATGCTATCTGAATAATCAATTAACTCCATAAAATTCATGGAATTTCTTTACCTGAACCCACAATTGAGTATAAAGGGGCTGTCCATTTTAATAATCAAAGAACACTTCAGTATCCCAATACACAATGTCTCTCTACTTCTGGTGAGAGAGGAGCCACACAGAAACAATACCATCTCCTCTGATGGGAGCTACCTTCAGGCTTTGATTTTTACAGGACTCGCCATTTCTCTGTCCATCAACCCTACTTTTATTTAAGCTGTGGAGCCGTTTCAGCACAGTCAATTAGAATTCTATAATCTAAACTCGAAGACAGCATGCAGCCCACAAATCACCCCTGCTTACTTAACAAACGGGCTTCATGTCATTGGCAAGCAGCCCTCTATTAAATATCCATCAATAAAAACATAACTTTAAAGCTATCTCTTAGATGAAATCTATTATTCCAAAGCTCCTCTAGGCTATAAACCTATTAACTGTGAACATAAAACAAAGGGGCCAGGAGGAGAGTATCTGACCTATAAACAGACATCATTAAAGCAGATACCTGTCAATTTTAGTGATAATTCCTACTTGAACTTTGTGATACTCTTGGGAAGGTGTAAATAAAGAATGGTAAGAGAAAGGAGTGGAAACTGCCTGAGAGGTACTCCGTGCCTTGAAGTCCCCAAATCCACAGGTTGTTGGGCCACTGTGGCCAGGCAAAGGGGATTATCTGTTCCTGTTCAGGATGCTACCAGAACAGGGGAAGGTTAGGCGCCTGATGAACACCAGTGCTACAGGTCAACACCCATAAAGACAATGACAACAGTCCCGCTTCCCACACTCACCAGCACACTTGGTTCTCGTTCTGAGGGCTGGCCCAGGAGATCCAGTGCCACCCTCCCCTGGCCTGGTGAGGAGCACGCTGATCTCATACTCTGTATCTGGGTCCAGGTGCCCAATCTTATAACTCGGGGAGTCCACTGGCTGCCGGTCATTCCAGCTCCCACTTGCCGTGCAGTATTCCACCTCTCGGGCAATGATGGGCCCATCCCCATTGATGGAGTTGGCATTGAGTTGTATCCACAGGTAGGTTGCCCCCACTGAGGCCAGCTGAGGTGGAGCAATTGGAACTGGTGGTTCTGAAAAGCAAACCCAAGAACCATTTTTCAGACACTCTAGTCTTCAGTTTTCAAAGAGTTAAGCACAAATCAATTATGAAAATACAGAAGACATTAACATTTCTGGAATAAATGGATTAAAACTGTTTTTACTTAAAAATATATATATATTTTTACTTGTTTCAGAGATGAAGCGTGGGGGGGGGGAGAGAGAGAGAGAGAGAGAGAGAGAGAGAGAGAGAGAGAGAGAGAGAGAGAAATTGAGAGAAAGAGAGAGAGTGAGAAACGATGAAAGAAAATCATTGATTGGTTGCCTCATGTATGCCCCCTATTGAGGATAGAGCCTGCAACCAGGACATGTGCCCTTAACTCGAATGGAACCCGGGTTCCTTCAGTGCTCTATCCACTGAGCCAAGCAGGCTAGGGCTTATTTAGGTTATTAACAAAAAGCATACTGATACAGGTTCTCACAATGTTCAAATGTGTAAAATAAACCATTTTTAAAATCTAAGCTTGCTCGTGTTGGTATATCTCCAGTTTCTTTTAGAACACTTCTCATTTTTTTCTCAGCTACACAGACTTCAAAGGATCTTTTCCACTAAAAGTAACTTCTTAAAGCTCTCACAAGTGGTAGTATTAAGCTCTAGAAGGTACTCTATTGTCAACCTCCTCACTGAGAATGTCTTTGGAATCATCAAAGGTGCTAGTTATCTTTATCATTAAATTCCACTTCCTTATATTTATAGTCACAATATCATCACTTTAAAAACAGGGCTGAAATTATAATTTATTTCATCATAAATGCACAACCAGGAAGACTCGTTCCCAAGAAATGATCACAGTGGATTCATTTAGCTTCAGGAGAAGCCAACAGTGTAGACAATGAAGTCCACCCTGCTGCTATTCTGGGTGTTTCCAGTAATGGGTCTTATTAAATCAGTGAACGGAACGGAAAGCTCTGAAGCAAAGCACAAGCTATGCCTACTTGATGTAACTCTAAGTAATCAGCAGCAAACACTCTTTACAGCCCAAGAAAGTCTCTCAATAAAACCTGAGATCAACTCTTTTTCCATATGATTATCTGAAGAGAAGAGAAGAGACAGATAACCTTGTTTTAAATAGGTTATATTATTCAGGGACTAGTTGAATGGCTCTTCAGGGACCATTGAAGGCATTCCATAGGCCAATGTCATTATGAGTGGTATCACACATCATATTAGGAAAGAAGATAATTGCATAAAATACTATATTAATGAGTCTCCATATTAAAAAAATAAAAATAAAGATCCAGTGATTTATTTTTAAAAATATTTCTGAAGATCGTTTGTGTCTCTTTGGTGTTGTTTTTGCTTTCAACTCCCCCTTTAGCTCATATGAATGCATGGAAAATAAAGCATGCTACAATCTATTACACTTATGCAGGCTTGCATGACACAACTTCTCTCTGCTCTGTGGCACATGCACCTAATCGATCACAGTCATGTTTCCTGCTGAATGAAACTTCAGGGCAGCTAGTACCATCTGACCGTGGCTTCTGAGATGATACCAGGTGATCCCTAGACTGACTAAAACACCAGCAACATCAGTTCCCTTTGCTGGGATGGGGTGTCTTTGTTCTTTTCTGTATTCAAGGTGCAATAAGTCATACTGATTTTCTAAAAGAGCGAGGGAATCTCAGTAGATGGAATCAAAATAAGACACAAACTAAAGAATTAATTTTATTTGGTGGAATACCAAATTAGTGTAATTTACTAAAATATTGTTCCTATTGTTTATAAATTACAAGTTTGTGCTAACTTTTCATTTTTTAATGGTTCTGACTCAACTTATAATGACTTAATATCAGTTTATTTCATTAGAGTGATTCATTGAAACAGGACATGAAATGGGCCTTTTATAGTAGATCATAAGACATTTTTCAGCTAGATTGAAAGAACAGTTAATTACTCTAATGTTGCAAATACTAGCAAGGATAGTTGAACTGCCATTCAAAATACAATTCAGGGGCAAGGCTACAAAGGTTACTGAGCACACACCAATTCACTTAGGATATTATTATCTTGTAGCCTAAAATAGACATATCTTTAATGCTGGTCCTGAGAATATTTTCTCTATTAATTCCCTATTAAGAAAAGTACCAAATATATTAAATGAGAGATTTAACTAGAACCTGGAAATAATTGAAATAGATATTCAAAAGGAATTGTGGGTTGCTGGAAGCATCAGTACAGGAAAGTCAATATTTAAATTTGAATACATTTCCCAAAGGGAAGGAAATAAGGAAGGGAAGGAGGGAAATCTATACTAAGCGATAAAAAGCAATTTAAGATATTTGATTCAAATGAAAGTGAAAAGACATCATAAATAATTCTAAATCATACCAGCAATAAAAGAATTTATACACACATAGATACATGTACATATTTCTAATTATATGTCTCATACATATCTCATATAATGAAATAAGATATTTATATATGTGATATATACATGCATTTTGAAAATTACATGAACTATTTTTTGCTGTTGATTACCAAAAGCAATGTTACTAGAGGGAAACGAGGGTGGAGGTAGGTTGAAGAGGGAATAAATGGTGATGGAAAGGAAACTTGACTTGGGGTGGTGAACACACAATATAATATACAGGTGATGTATATAGAATTGTACACCTGAGACCTACATAATTTTATTAACCAATGCTACCTCAATATATTCAAGAAAAAAAGAAAACAGAGCAATGGTAGATACAAATAAGATAAGAATAATAGTTAAAATGTGACCCGGGCTTCATTTGGGAAGTTGGTACCAAATCAGTGTGTGGCCATAAAAAAAAACAAAAACAAACAAACAAACAACAAAAAAAACAAACCTAGCACTCCAAATATTACATGCCTACAAAAAATTGTTAAGATAGATACAGGTGGCCTAAAAATGTCATTGTATCTTTCAAAGTAATCATCTCAAGGTAATACTTTATTGAACTAGTAGAATCCAACATGGTATCTCATTCTATATAATAAAAGCATAATATGCAAACTCTCCCCTTGACCAGGAATTCATTTGGAACTTTGACCAGCGGGCAGGGCCAGCTGGTAGAAGTCCAGGGAGGCCCTGGCCAGCAGAGGGGGCAGGAGGCCCTAGCCAGTGGGTGAAGACAGCAGCAGGAGGCTGGGGGAAGGGAGGGAGTATCCAGCTGGTAGCAGGCAGTTGCTAGGCACCCTACCAGTGCAGGAATTTTATGCGCTGGGTTTCTAGTTTTAAAATAAAATATATGCAAAATATGGGTATAAAATAGTAAATGGGGGGCAAGTCAAGTTTCAGATATGAGCCATGACTACAAGCCCATTATCACAGGCTTCCCCAGTCTGCAGGGGTTGAAACAGGTGCCAGGATATGTGTATCACAATGAGCCAAGGTGCCCCTGTGCTGTCTTAAGACAGGAAAGCTTATGCTGCATAAGGGTGAACAGGAACCCTCCCATTCTGTGGGTTTGTTTGATCTATCAGACTAGAAATTTCTAATTCACTTATAACTTCCAACAAATTAGCTTTTCCACAGAGGCAGTTTTTAGAGATGTGACTTGACTCGCATCGTACTGATCCCAAAGCATGATGCCTCAAAAAACAGGGGCTGTGGCTGGTCACTGGGACTCTAATGTAACAACCATAAATCAGGACCAACCACAGGGAGCTAAACCAAGATGAAAATTATGGAATAACAATGACAAAAAGAACTGAGCCGTGGAAACCCCGTGGCTGCTCTACTGGATGGGTTGGTAAACGTTGTCCATTTTCTACAGGAGACACCTCGCCTCCCAGATGCTCCGCAGAGTCTGGTGAGCACGCCTAGGAAGCGTCTCGGTTTCCTAACAGATATCTTACCTAAACTCAAACACTAGCCAGAGCAGCTCGTAAAAGATTCTCTAGAAACTAAAACACAAAATTCAGGATCCGCTGTGGCAAATAATTTTCAAGCAGATATTCCGAGTGTACTTCCTGAACACTGAACACTCTGGCTGCTGATTAAGAAAGCTGGAGGGAGGCTCACCTGTAAATGTTTCTCTCATAAGCCAGTGGTGACTGGTACCGGACTATCACCCTCAAGCTTCTGATTTAACATGGATGCTGTGGGGAAGGGGAGAATGGGTGGGCAGGCATTTATATATATTTTTTAAATTTGGAAAAGTCCTACTGACATCTGAAGAGCTCTCAAGTACTGGAGCAGAGAGGAAGAATCATCCTGTACCTCCCCCTCCCTGTCAGGCACCAACAGGGGCTGGCTGCTTATGGGGCACCCTGATCTAAGTGCTGTTCACAGACTTTGCTTGCGGTCCTTCTAATAAAATAGGTAATATTTTATGTCTATTTTATACATGAAGGAACAGAAACAGAGAGAATAAGCTACTGGCCCACGCCCACATGGCGAGTGCAGCCTTTAAAACTGTCTATATAAAGAAATTTCCTGGCAAAAGCAATAGCTCATTTAAAAGATATTAATGGTATGTTCCATATTTAGCAAATTCGGGGGTGGGGGAGTTTAAAAAACAGGCATCATTATATTCTGCTGGGATGAAACAGTAATGGTCTTCCACACGTCATCTGAATATCTCTCATGGTACATCTAAAAGTCCAAATTATCCTGTCTTGGACCAAGACTTGCCTTAGCAGTTTAATACTATAAAGTCCTCAGCTCACATACAAAAAAGCATTAAACAAGATAAAGAAAACTTATCCCTCCTCCTTTTTTTTCCCCTCTTCCCCAACCTTCCTGAATATAATGGCTCAATTTTTCAGTCATGCAAAATATGGTAATAGAAACTAACTGCAACATTATAAATGTTAACTCAGAATTATCAATATGGCTTGTGTGATATGACTGAGCATTTTTATACTGACACTGCTTCATTTTATTAACCACCCTACTATCATAAAAACCCTGGCTGGTGAATATTTGCATTTTAAGTGATTTTCTATCAGTAAAAATATTTTTATTCCTTAAAAAAATTTATAGGTTGTAATTTCTGTATACAGAGTTGGGAGAAGAACTTGCCAAGAGCACCTTCATTGCTTCGTATGCAACTAAACCGACGTGAACAAAATACATTTTTCAAAAATATTGCTCACGTGCAAAATTTGTACTTAAAATGCAATCCATCAATATATAAGCCTGTCAACAAAAAAAACTGTTCAGAAACATACAAGGATCAGTTTGAGCTTAAAACAAATAATGATCTCACTACCGTGTAAAATATCTATTTTAACAGACTATTTGAGGGTATAGAAACACATTAAATACCTTTAACTACCAATTCAGCATAGTTTGATAGGCCGACACCTCCTTCTGTGCGAATCATGCAGCGGTACTTTCCGGCATCTCGTTTTGTCGTATTCACAACATTAAAGGAAGCTATGAATCGTCGGGAGCTAGTCACCTTTATTTCCTTCAGAGGAGCATCTCGTACATCAATGCCCTGTATAAATGGGGTAGAGAAGGAAAAAAGAAACAATGTCAATTGTCATATCAAAACAGCAAGACACCTGATGACGACATAGCATTGATGTGAATTCCATACAGATCTTGGTTCCATTGTTTATTGCTCACTGGCAGTTGTTCCAGGAGAACAGATGCCAGGAAACCAAAATTCTGCTGTATCAACAATTTCAAGATTGAGGGATGCAAAATTAAGTGTCCAGACATGTCTTGTTTTTGCCCCTTCAAGATATTAATTATGTTAAATTATCTCAACAGGAGGAGAGAAAAAGCATATGGAAAAAATCTTTATTTTTCTCCCAAACTATCAATAGTTTTTTCATAATATGTTATTTTCTTGCTTGGGTAGGAAACAAAATTAACTCACATGTTACCCTATGACTGTCCTCATTTTATATATGAACAAATAAACAATTTATAAAAAATTACATTGAAAACCTAAGTAGACATTAGCATATTCCTTCTCGTCTAGGTTTGTAGGACTAGTCCAAGCTTTATGATATCGCTCCTGAATGCACACAATCCAAGCGGAAGTATATGCTTAACATTACCTGATACTGAAATACAACAAGAACAGCTCCTTTTTGCATCCCATAGTCTCAGGACCACATAAAGCAGGTCCCACCACTGGGGCAGCTTCATCGTATACTATCCCTGATACATTAAGTGTTTCATTTGCATACTTGGAAGTCCATTCTATACTGTCTATAGTTGAAAGCCCAAAAGAAGTTTACCAATTTTAGTTCTATTTTTCTTTTTTTTTTCTTTTTTATAATTATCAGGAAAGAGACTATATTTAAAATGCTATTTGTGAGTGCTAAGAGAAAACAATGCACAAAGACCTTAAAGCTAATGCATGATGCCACATACTATATCCATTTACTCACCCGGCAACCATTTTGTGGTGCCAATCCCATGCTATCATTCTGTTAAGACACTATTAGGCTCACAACAATGAACTAAAGAAAAGTGGGTTCTGTTAGAGGGAAGTATAGGCCTGAATACATAATCACCAACGACGGCTTAAGTATTGAAGGGACAGATCATGTGGCAGCCAGAGATCACAATGTGACCCAACTTTAGGGATGGTGGCCATGGGAGGTCAGTTTGAGGAAGTGACAAGGAACTGAGATCTGAAGTAGGCAAAGGGGGAGGGGACAGGAGCAGGTGAAAAAGAGCTGAAGGCCTTGGATGTAGGTAAGGCAGCCTGTAGAACCAAGGATGAAAGCAAGCATGTTTGCATTCAAGGACTTGCAGGCTATATTAAAATGCTTGTGTTTATAGTTTACAAAACAACAAAACTCATGTATTACTTGGTGATTTAAATTATACAAAGTCCTGTCCTAACTGGTTTGGCTGGGCTGATAGAGCTAAGGCCTGTGGACCAAAGCATCTTGGGTTCAATTCCAGCCAAGGGCACGCACCTTGGTTGCAGTCTCCTCCCAGTCCGGGCTCCTGCAGGAGGCAACCGATCTGTGTTTCTCTTTCATTGATATTTCTCACTGTCTTTCCCTCTTTCTAAAAAATCAATGGAAAAAATGTCCTCAGGTGAGGATTAAAAAACAATAATAATAAAAGAAAAACGAACTACTTAAAAATTAATAAAAATTTTAAAAAATTAATTATGCAAAGCCCTTAAAAGCTTTTATTTGTGATACTTTCCTTGACAGAATGTCCTAATAGATATGATTTTGGGAGTTAGACTGACCAGGGTGTCAAACCTAACTTCAAAGTGATTTATCTTCCTAGAGCCTCCCTTTGCTCATTTGTAACAAGAACATGAAACAACTCGCTTTCAGAGTTGTCATGAGAATTTAAATGTGCATTCAAGAACACTGGCATACTGACTGGCACTACACATGAGTTCAAGAAAAAAGGCAGACAAACTCTCAAAATACCACCTTTTTACTGATGCTGCAGAATATGGCTGATGTGCAGTAACAATGGGCTCACTGATACTGAAAGCACAGAATTAAAACGACTCACCCACACAGGCACAGACCGCATTAGAAAATCACAAGGCCACCTCTATGTTGGGAGCTGCTGTAAAAACCACGGGATGGAGGAACAGGGTTCACACAGGGAGTTAGCTCCCAAAGAAAGGGTTGGGCTGTGCATGCTCAGAGCTTCCTTCCTAAGCAGCTCCTGCCTGGCAGAGAAAAGGCATCAGGAGTGCTGCACAAGTACAGTTCCTGCCACAGGGAAGGAAACATCAGGAGTGGAGAAAAAGAGTTCCACCAACATCATGTTCAATATTATCTGTCAAAACATCGTTAGTAATAGCTTTAAAATCATAAATCAGAATGTGAAGTTATATATATGCCTTATATGACTTATGTTTGTCTCCTAAATTTGGTCTGAAGAAGGTACCAAAAAGTTAGAAAAACAAAACAAAAAACAAAATTAGGCCTAGCCAGTGTACAGAGCCTCCGTCTGCGAACTGAAGGGTCCCTGGTTCAGTTCCTGTCAAGAGCACATATGCCTGAGTGCCTGTTGGAGCAGCTTATCAATGATTCTCTCTCATCATTGATGTTTCTATCTCTCTTTCCCTCTACCTTACCCTCTGAAATCAATATAAATATTTAAAAAAAAAACAATCTAGCATTATTAATTACACCATTCTTCCATGAATTCCAGACATCCAATTTATCATCCTCTCCACCAAATAAGTAAATAATTGAATTCTACCTGTAAGAATAATATTAGACCTACTACACTATAAAATTAATTTGTCTTTCTTCAAACTGAAAAAAATAAATCTAATCTCCAGTTTTGAGGGGGGGAGGGGAAAGCCCCAAGGATGTAGGCAGATTTCATATCTGTAACTATTTGTTTTGTTTACTAATAACAATAACAAAAAGTGCTATCTACTTATTTATTTACTTACTTGTGGCACAGATCTTGTCAGAATATACTTCTATAGTAATCCTGTAGCATTTTTCCTAATGAATAAGTCTATCTCAAAAGAATGTTTATTCAAAAGATTTTAAAGTATATGCTCATTGATCCCTCACAAATATTCAAACTGTACTGAGGGCACTCAAGTTTAATAAAACCTCCTTTTTGAATTTATTCATATGCTGAGAGGAGTATTGCTTCATAATTATTATCTTCATGCCACAGATTTATCCTTTAAAATAAAAAGCATCCAACTAACAACTCCATATTACTCTAATGAGTCACCATAATTCTCAGGAATAAGCTTCTTTTTTTATTTTAATTTTTAAAAATCCCATGCATTTAATCACACAGAAAGTTGGATTAAGCTTCTTGGGGGGAAAAAGTACATAGGAAGGAGAAATCAAATGCTAACTAGCGATCATTCAAATTTAGGATCCATACCAAATCATAAATCTTGCTCAAATCTGCAGATCATTTTCTATTAAATCATTCAGATGTACAAGGATCCAAGCATTCATTCAACCAACACATAGTAAAAATGTTTTAAGATGCACATACTTGGTTAATATAAGGGGAGCACAGAGTTAAAAGAGCAATTCCTTACCTAACTGAATTTACAGTCTTATTAGAAAAACAGAAAAAGTAAGGCAATAGTTATATTATAGTACAGAGCAAAGAACTGCCTAAAACAGTAAACCCAGGAAAAGAGGACCTTGCTGGAAACCAAGATCAACAGTAATTAATATAAATGCAAGAAGTCCACCAGAAGGCTGAGTTTGGACTTCTTCTATAACCACAGGGTGAATTTGCATTTTATTACCTACTACTGAAACAATGGCCTAAAGCAAACTCCCCCAAACCTGATAATCTTACTGTTTACTAAATATTACCACTGATGTCTGTTTGCATTCCTAAAAGGCAATTGTGTATTCTATTGTAGTAAATAAAAGCAGCTGGGAAAGGAGACTCAGTGGAACTTAACTACTGCAGTTAAACTTTTCCCTGGCTTATCCCCATAATTTCAAAATTAATTTTTCTTGTCTTGTGTGTCAATTTGCAAGTCAGCTCTTTCTGCAAGCCTTTGAACCCAAAAGCCATGCTGTCCTTGGCTTTTCACAGGGGTGTGAGGGTTCGCTTTTCAGAAAAGCTACTTGAGGCCAGGCTTAAGGATAAATCAGTTTATCAAACACTGGCAGCGGAGAATAGAGCCCAGTGAATGAAAAAAAAAAAAGCTCTCCAAGAGTCAAGACAAGAGATCATGGGGGAAGTATAATTTATTCCACATGGCTAGACCAAAAGTGCTTCTAGGAATAGCATGTTGTGGGGTCGAACCCTGGGTTCAAAATAAGACTACCAGAGGCTGATTGATTAAAAAAGCAGGCAAGGATTTATTGAACTGGCCAGGATGGCTGAGAGAGCAATACACGCAGGTGGAGTCCACATGACTGCACTGTTCCAGGTGTAGGCAGTTCTTTTAAAGGTCTAAACCACAAGAATTTTCCTTTGTTCTAAATTCTAAATTCTAAAGGCTAGGAACAGCCCGAAGGATCATTCCCAGCCACATCCTGCTGCACATTGGAATGTTGGCCCTATCTTGCAATAGCAGATAGTACAGAAGCAGAGCTGAACATTTAGTCTCTAAAGGTTATCTACAGTTTCTACTCCTGAAGCTACTGAGTCAGTGGGAATCAATCTCCTGTGGTCCTGATCCACAGGCACAGGAAAATTGCCTTAGCCTCCAGGTCTCAATCTGGAAGCTGAGGCAACTACCCTATTGTTTAAGCAAGTAAACAAGTGCTGAAGTCAGAATAGAAGGGTTAATATTCAAACAGGAGTTTTTACCTAAGTATGGTTGTTACCATACTTCAAGCAGATAATGAAACTAGAAAGATGAGCATAAGAGAAACCACATCAAGAAATATAACATGTTGAGGATTATCATTTATTGTGATGCCAGGAAAGGAAGGACTTTAGGCAAAAGGGTGACATGACACATGGGTATGGTTATGAACTGAAGGAAAGAGTATGGGTGCCCAACTGATATCAAGGGAAATTGGTTATATATTTTCAGGAATCAGT